TTATTATTATTATTAATAATAATAATAATAATAATAATTGCTTACACTTATATAGTGCTTTTCTGGACACTCCACTCAAAGCGCTTTAAAAGCACTTTTTTATTTTGGTATTTTAGGTCAGATCTTTAACAAAACAGGACTGCATGCAGGATATCCAGAATACAGCAAAGTCTTAAAAATCAATAAGCAGATAATTTTGCATTTTATTTTTATGTTTACCTTCTGGTTGAATGCATTCCTGTGTTGTATGGGTGGAAAGGCAAAACAGACATCAATCATTTGGGTGTTTTTTTGAGAAAGGTTTCCCTATATCTGCTGGAATACACTCAGACGAAAGTTAAGTCAGTAGTACACAGAAGAGAGGGAAGCATTCTGCCAGTACTGTGCTACTTTCAGATACAGTAAATGTGCTGACTTTCAAGTACTGTAGTTCAGTCTATGTAACGCAATTTAGAAAATACATCAAACTAAAATAGGATATGCCAAGGCCAAAAAAAATTCTAAAACTAATTATTTTAAAAATGAAAAATAAAAAATAATTTGATGCAGAACCTATGCACAACATTATTCATAAAACATGCTAAATCAGAGTAAAATTTGATGAATATTTAAATTATCCAGTTTGGATGGGTACTGCAGAAGAGCATCTTCTGATTGTAAGACTTGACCTAAAACAACAAACTTGAATTAGTTGTACTTAAATATCACAAGAACCAATTCTTTAGTATATTCTTGTTTTTGTAATAGAAATAGTTTTAATTAAAGCTACCTGTATTGTCCACAGATTGTTTATTATTTTGACAGGCAAAAGACTGAGTTTTTTCAGTTAATGCCATTTTTGTCCATGAGTACTGTCGATTTTTTACGTTTGTCAATACTGAGCCCATCAAAATTTATATTTGACATCATTCGTATTTAGTAGATTAGAAAGAGGAGTTAATTATTGTTTTCAGATCTTTTCAATGATAAAGTATTTATACTATTACAGCACTGTTACCAGTTTTATCGGCTACTCTTGTATGCAACAACTGAAACTAAAACTATTACATATTTTTTTTAATTTTCTGATTAATGTAACAAAGAACATTTTTTCTGAAAAATACAAACTCATTAAGAATTTGATGTTATACCTGTTTAAACTAGTCTGAACAAATTCTAGTGAAACAATTACATTTTCATTTCACTTACAGAGTCATAATGGGTTTCTAATACTGTAATTACAATAGTTTGGCTATACTTCAAAAAGTAACTACAGTATACGGTAACAAGTAGTATACTGTACGTATTGCTATTAATGCATCAAGAGACCAACCTCTGTCAAACCACGGAATTCTATCATATCTACAGTACATATATCTGTATCCATCTTTATTTCTTTTTTTGCATAATTGTTTTGCTTATTATTACAGAGGTATACTTTTTATGCTAAACATTTATGTCTTCTGTTTATGGAGGGTCTGTTAAGTCCCGTATAATAAAACAAAACTAAAGGGAAAATGCGTCTTTCTAGCTGTATAGAGAATATTCCATGGCGATCTTACTCTAGGTTTCGCTTTTTAATAGTTAGAAAATTCTATTTTTTAAGATAGATTAAAACTTAATATATTAAATAACTTTTCTTTTATTTCGGATGACATAATATTCTGACCCAGTGACACGTTGATACGAAAAGCCAGCGCTTCAGGTGCTGAAACCACCTGCAACCCGTAAAAAGGTGTAGCCAGCTATTACACCTTCATCAGCAGTCGCCAACAGTACCGCGCACTTCAGACGTCAGATAACTTAATACAGAACAATCGTTTGCAGATCTGTGGAATTTGCTCTCTAAGGAATGAGTAAAGGCATTTTACCATTAAATGTTATGCTCTAAAAAAAGGCTCAGAAGTTGATCATTTACAAAAAAAAAAATGTTTTATATAAGATTATATGAGTTTTTTTCCTGCTGTACATTAACCAGAAAGACATTTTACAGGCTCGGGCTGGTGAAAGTAACTTTTTGTTTTTAAATTCCGGAGTTGGTCTCTCAATCAAGGAGAACTGTTTTTCACATACTGTTGGCACGTCGACAGTTGCCATTTCTCACATCATTTCAATCAAACTGACACTCTCCAGAATCTGATTTAAAGCTACAGAAATGCTTGCGTGCCTTACAATTTCAAGTTAGAAGTTAAACATCGGTGTACCAGCTGAACAGCGAAAAATGTAAGGTATTTCAAGATTACGACCTTCTTAGGTAACGATACTGTATTTTACTGCCGTGACAGTGACATTTTTTATTCTTGGTAGCAAATGCAAACACGCACAAAACCACACAACAATTAGAAGAATGGATGTCAATTTTAAGCTGTGTTTGGAATGCTCTTTATGAATCAAGACAAATTATTATATCAAAAAAAAGTTTACCTGCAGGATGCTCTTTGGTTCACAGTCCAATTCCGGCAGTACTTTTGACAGGCAAATTAAAACCCCGAAACTGTCCACTTACAACTTCAGGCTGCAACAATAACCAACCCCTTTCAGGGAAAACTCCAAATATTTTATAGACACATGAGTCGGATTCCTTTTAGGTTTATAATATTCTCCTGTTCATCTGACCGATTCCAGGGCTTGCGGATGCCAAAGACAGCACTTCTACCTCTTGCAGAGAGAATTCTGTGAATGCAGCAAGCTCCGTTCTGTTTAAGGAACTGCCGCGGAGGAGGAGGAGCAATGTTCCCTGTTCCTTTAAAGGAGGCACACTTATCCGATTCATGAAATAATTACACCCGAGCAGGTCTTGTCAGTCAGAATAGCATGTATGCAAGACACTCGACAATCTTTATTAGCCACTGTTAAACTACCCCCCCCCTCCCCCAATAAAGAAGATTTGTTAGCAAAATGTTTTATATGTCTTATATTAAAAATAAAATTGATGTATTGTTGTTATACAAGCATATTACTGTATGATCAGTCACATGGTCTTGTGTAGATAGCAAATTAAGTAAAAAATATGATTGGCATGTGTTGTGTTTTGGTAAATAAAATTCAGAAATGTAACATATATATTGTACAGTAAACAATGAAAATAAAATCATTATGTTGAGGCCTTTATTTTGGAAACGCTGTCGTTGGTTTGTTTTTTTTTTACTTCTTTCAGCCACTTGAAAAATGAATAAATATCTGTGGTGCATAATTAATATCCCCATGTGTATCTCATGTTTAAAAAAATGTGAAGAGTGTTTTAAAATGTTTTAGGTTTGTGCTGTAAATGTGCACAATAACAACAACATCTTTTATTATTGTCTCTTCTTAAAACAGAAGGCATTTATGTCACTACCTTAAGAATCCATCAAGCATTTATGACAGATTAGCAGGAGTTTACATTTTCTGTAGTAGTTTGAAAAGGTTAGGATGATTATCACATTAACAGACTAAATGTGTCAAGAATGATAAACAAACATGTAGGGTATTTACAAAATATTATATAATATAATGTGACTTGTTAGCACAAGTCACATTGTTAGGTTTAGGACATTGGGATCTTGGGATAAAATAAAAACTGTACCATTTACAGTTTTTATTTTAGTGTTAAATCTGAATCAGTCAGTAATCACAAAGATTATAGAACACCTTACACTCAACACTCCCACAATCGCAAATCTCAAAACAAGAAATTGTGTTTTGAGTGACACAGACCACACCTGTTTTGACTAAGGATCCACTGGGGCACCTGAGCTCTGAGGGGTTGATTTTACTCTGCTGGCAGCAGTCACCCTATTGAGCAGGAACCCTGCATAGCAGAGGAGAACAATTAATAACACTCTACCTTACAGTAGCTTCAGAAAGAAAGCATGCAATAGCATCCGCTGGTTGAGATTTTAATTAGCTTAATCAAGTTAAAACAGCATCACTCTGCAAAATGAGACTGCAGGATATGTGTAGAGCTGCTCTGCTGGGTTAAATTTTGAATTTAATTTGGTATCACAAAATGCAGAAAAAAGTGTTAGGGTGGGGGTTAAGACATACTAAATTGAATAAAATTCTACAGACTGAAAATGCTTTACCTTTTACAATCTGTCTTCTTTTTGTTCTGGTAAAAAAAGAACTTTCAGTTGCAAAATAGAGGGAATAAGGCAAATATTTAAAATTAAAAGCAAACCCGTGGGCATCTGTTCTTTTTAAATAATCAAATCATCTTGCTGGATAGATTACTGCAGCTGCTTTGTTATGAATTAAATCTTATCTAACTGATAAAAGCAATTCGTTTCAATTGCATAGTGTTTCTGCTTTATAAAGTTCGTTACATTTGTTGTCCCTCAAGGATTTTCCTCGTTCCACTTGTTTTCAGAATCTACATGTTTCCGTTGCCTTATATTCTTTATATGCATGATGTTGGCCATATATTTCATTTTTATATCTGATGATCTCCACATTTATGCTTGCACATAATCTGACATAAAAAAACTATTTGCTTTATCACACTGCTTAGAGGATGTTACAGATTGGATGCAACATGAATTATGTTTGAACTCAAACAAGGCTAAAGTCATGTTGATTGACTGTCCTCATCAGTTCCACAAATGCTTAATTTGATGCTAAGTCTTGGCTCTAGGGATCTGAACACATGAAAAACTCACAATGGCTATGCCAGACAGTGCAGAAAGCTTTTTGCAGAAATTATGCAACTTCTTTCCATCAAGCAGACTCTGTACAGTAAGTAGCTTCCTCAGACTGCTATGAAAACCAAACCACCACTAATATTATGAAAGTAATTTGTATAATATAACCTCATGTAACCAGATTCTCACATGGCAAAATCTATTATAATACGTATAACCTCATTATACTGTGAGACTGTGGACTTGACTACCACCAATAATGTACTTCATTAATCAAATACCACCTACTGTAGTGCATCTATTTACAAGTTACAGAGGTAATAGCAGCCTCTAGTGGCACTGCTACTACAGTTCCAAAACCAGCCTGCCAATCTTTTCTATTTTCCTAAAGTTTTAATTTTTATATTGGTGGTGACATGAATAATATGAAGGAGATAAATCAAGTTTTAATAAATCCTGTTTGATCATAATGATCATATTGAATTGTACATCTGACATCTAGCTCTATGGCATATATTATTTTTTTAGCAATTATTTTTATTTACAATTTTAAACTCCCAAAGAAAGTAAAATAAGTAAATAACAGTTTCTCAATATCTACAAGTATACAGCAATATAAAGAGCAGGAATAAAAAGAAATCACAAAATACAGTGCAGTACCAAGTACAACAAATGTTACATGAAAGTGCTACTTTAATGATCACATCAATGTCCATAGTTGTCACTGTGGTAGTGGATCTTGAGTACAACTGATCCATGAATTTTCCAAAGTAAGATAAAATAAAAATAGTCAAACCAAACAGAAAAAAAAGAGATAGTTGGCTCCACCCAAGCTGTAAGTATTTTTTGTAACAGTTGTTACAGCTGCAAACCAGAAATAAATGTGTAGATTGTGTTGATAAAGTTAGCTGGGAGATGTTTGCTAACAAAAGTATCTCTGGGGAGTAGAGTACCGTTATACACAATAGAGAGCCCACAACTGTTGGGCACTCATAGCAACATGTTCAAATACTGTATGTACACATTGCCCCCAAACCACAAACCTGACAAACAGGATCTTGTATCATTATTGCAAGTATCTGCTGAGTAGTCTAGCAAGATATCAATGAATCTGTTCAAAATGGATAAGACAATATGCCAATGTTTTAGATGATATGAACATATTATGCCATATTATAACCCAATTAGTGGTAATGTCTAACTCATTAAGGACTCTATTCCAGATGGATATCACTGTGCAGAGGTTAATGTTGTAATACATACTGTAAGTTTCTTATATGCCAGCATATCAACCTTTGCCTCAGTGGAGACATTTTGATTGTTCAATTAGAGGATGAAAACACAAAGGGGATTCCCAGGGAACAAAGTGATGAGCAAATCTGAGATAGAAAAAGAAAGAGAATCCTGGAAGGAATTTTGTTCTTGCAAATCTTGGAATATCTGGATTGAGTCAGCAAAGATATATTTTAAAATGTAAATATTATACCAGCCTATGAGGAAAAACAAAGTGGTGAGATCCAGTTAATACAGCCACAGAGTTGTGCCATGTAGCAGAAGTGCATGTAAGGTGTGAAAACATTTGTTGACTTTTTTTCCATATTTCTAAACTTTTAATAACAATACCCACATGAATTAATACTTTTATTGCTTAGGTTAAAGCACGATGAAAACATAGCCTCATAGCCCCAAGATGAAATGCCCTATAGTAATATTGAAAGATTTGTAAAGTGAGGCCCACTTCTCCTTTAGGATGCTACAAAATAGCTAGACAAATTCTGCATTTTTTTCTTTTCCAGATCAATTCAGAGCACAAGTTGATATCTGCAGTAATTTTTGGGCGATGTGTCAAAGGCAACAAGAAAGAGACTTACTGTATGGTAACACTTTCATTTATTTAACATTGTATCCATATCTGTCTAAAATGTAATAGCATACCATCAAAGCTGTTCTTCCTAATATTTAACAATATGTTGTAATTTTCATGCCCAAATATTTAAAAAAACTGTCAACAAAGGTAAAGACAGAAGTTACAGAAGAAAGAGTTGGATCCGTTTGCATAGAAACAGATTTATTCCAATTAATCTAGTATTGAGAAAAAGCCAAAAATTTCAAACAACACTAAAACTAGAAAAATGGCCAGATAGAGCTGCCAAACATAGCAAAACATGACCAGCATATAGATATGCTTGATGCCATGCATGACAATCTGTGAAATTGTGCTCCTCTGCCAAATCACTTATCCTAAAGGTTCCAGGGAGACGGAAAGAATCAGGGGTCTCTGGTACCATTAGGTAAAAGAAATTGGGGAAGCATCATAGAGCCTTTTACACATAATCAGTGGGTGCATTGATCATGTAGATAAATGGAGCACCAAAACAACATTAATATGCAAGCCTTTTCAGCGTCTAAGGGCGGTCTCTGAGGTTGAGGGTAATTGTTCTGTCAGATATACTGTACAGTATAACATGAAAGAAGTGATGTACAGTAAATTGTTTAACATAAGTCTTTCCCTTATAGACTTTTTCTGATCATGGTGAATTAAGTAAAGAATATACAGTATACACCAACCTTGCAAACTAGACAGTTTGCATAAATATTTATATTTGTTTTGTGATGCTGTGGGGGGCTGCATCCTTGAAGGGACGTCACTTTCCATGAGTAGTCTTAGATTCCCTCTATCTAAGGTAGCAGACTGGACACACAGCTCACAAGGGTCTGGATGCTGGTAAATATGGGAGAAAGCATCAGCACTCAACTAGGAAGAAGAACTGGTAGAAGAAGTTCGAATGACACAAGACCACATCAACCTCTGCCCCTTCACAGGCAGAAATACTGCTGAACTATCATTAGTTGAAACTCTAGCTATCATCACTGCAACCTGTGCCCTTGTTGTGAGTAACATCACAGTATTTAAAAGATATAATGCTTTCATAGACTCAAATTAAAGGTAGCTGGAGCATTCTAATGGAGCCTAATTTTCTAATTTTCTTTTTCCCAAAGAAGTGAGTTCAGTGCAGATTTATGGTTGTAGTGGAATTTACCCATCACCAATTAATAATTCATTGATTATTACCCACAATAATGAAAGTTTTGATGTC